ATCACTGGAAATTGCATCTTGATCATTACTCATCAAGTCACATGTATTATCTGTTTCAGTAGTAACTGGATGGGTTTCGCTTGTGATTTTGAATCATAAATATTAAAATTACCATTGTTATTAGAATGTGTAATAGTTTTTTAGTAATATTAATGATAATGGTGGAGCAGTGTAATATTCCGCAAAGCAAGATGAAATATACAAATTTTAGAAAAGAATAAATTAATTTGTTATTAACCATCCAACAAATCTTCTTGATAGTGGAAAAAAAGTTACACGTAAAAATGGCATAAATGGTGGGGGATAAATCAGTTTAAACCACTGGGATAATACAAGTTTAAGCTCAATTTTACTTCATAAAATTGAACTTATACCCGTACTACCCAGGGTTTAACTATTAAATACATACGGAAATGAAAATTATTTGCTGAAATAAGATGTAATATTTGGTTGTACTATCTAATAATTTCCTTGTTGAAGAAAATTGAAAGCTATCTCAAAGGAAATTACGGCATCTTTCGTTGAAACTTTAGACATAGTGTTACTATCAACAACTATTATATTATTAACATCATTTTAAAATCTCTTCGACTATATTTCTTGAATTTTCAATTTCATTATTAGTTATTTCATTTTCCAAAGGGAGAATTGCAGTTTTCCTCTATCAATTTTGGTAATTTGGACATTTATATGTCACATGAATCTGCTGTAGACATATCAAAAATCCGTGGAACAAATTTATTATTGTTATTAGGAGTAGAATCCGTTATTATTATGACAAGCGTTTTAATTAATATTAATAAGGGGACAATACTTAAATCCGTCGTAACAAGAAATGTGTTGTGGCGAGTCCGCTGTGACGAGGTTTGACTGTAATATATAAAAAAAATTAATAAATGGTGGTTAACCGGTTAATTTAACCAGTTAATTTTAACTGGTTAATCAAAAAGAATTAACCGGTCAAAAAAAATATCTTAACTGGTTAACCGTTTAACGGTGCCAACCCCTAATCTTTTGATGTTGATGGGTGATTCAGAATTTGTTTGATTTCATCTGGTGAAAGTGTGTCAGCCTTCTTTGTAGAAATCTTACCCTGTTTCTTAAGATCACGTAGCTTTCCATTTAAAGTTTTATATAAGTCTGGATAATTTTGCTTGCACGCGTTTCCATTTAAGGTAATTTGATCTTTAATTACACTGTGACTTTTCAAATGTCTATCAATTGCAGCCATACAATTTTTTAATGACAAATATTCTTCGCCATCATCTCTTCGCACACCAACAACAAATTCGCATAATTGTTTTTCTAATATTTTTTTGTCATTAACCGATTCAATTGAAATTCCATTATGATGTTTTTCTCTATAGTTAGTTAAAATCTTAACCCAGAATTCAGTATTTTTTTCGTAGTTAATGGTATACTGGCTTCTTGAATGTCTTTTATTTGTTGATCGGTTGGAAGAAATGACATGTCAAAGTTGGGTGATATTTGTTTCTATGGTACAACAGACAAGAATTTTAGTTTTACAATTTGACAACACAACAAATATTTATTTACTTACTCGTGTTGCTTTTGGCATTTTTATGAATGGAACAATAAAATTTAGGATTTGAAAAATTATTTAATAATGATAAAAAAGAATGTGCATTTTAAGCTCTGAATAAGCGTTTACTCCAACATACAATAAACCAGTTATTGCATGCATCACATGTCAATAATCACGTTAATAAAATTAACTAAAAAATCGAAGAATGAATTAAATAATTGGCTTGTGGCTCTGACGTGCCACAAGCCAATCAAAGAATGCCATTCTGGTTTTTCCATTATTTGCATGCTCCGCATGCAATAACTTTAATTTAACAAAGAATCAAAAAACTGCGAAAATTTATTTAGCTTTAAGAAATAAAATAAAGATAAATTAAAAAGACAAATAATTATAACAAATAATTTAGGAGATTAAAATTAGTCATTCATCGATTCTTTTTTTTAATTATTAGAACCTAATGCAATTAAAAATATTGTTAGTAATAATTAATGGATAGTAAGTTCCAATTAATTAATTAAAAATGAAATTTTTATTTACCTTCAACATTCTAGAGAAAAGAGTTAAAATCAAGACTATTTAACGAACTATCATTACTTGTATAAATTTTCAAGCCTTTTGATTTAGCAATCTCTTCATCTAATATTCTACTTGTATGACATGCACCTGGATGTGATTCATGTACTTGTTGCAAATTACTACCACTACTGTTACTATTACTGATATTATTATCATTTTTAAAAACTTCACTACGTTTATTTCTAGCAAAATCATAAAGCTCTTCACTAGTTGGTCTTTTTAATGGATCCATATCCCAACACCTCTGCATCACTTGCGCATAATCATCAGGCATTCCAGGCAATATTGGTGGTAGTAAACCTTCTGCACATATATCAAAAATTAAACAATGATTGTGAGCTCTATTGTCAAATGGTGGATGACCTGCAAATATTTCCCACATTAACATTCCAACACTATAGATATCAGATTTTTTGGTGTTCTTTTCACCTCTAAGTACCTCGGGTGCAACATATGATACAATTCCATAGACTTTATCTGATGATTTTTCATCAACTGGTCCACATAATCCCAAATCTGTAATAAAACAATTACCTCCACTTATTAATATATTACCACTATGTAAATCACAATGAATCAAATCTTTTTCATGTATCAGATATAATGATCTGCATAAATTATAAAATATTGTAATTCTGTCTTTTAATGTTAAATTTTTTTGTAAATAACCCCTTAAATTTCCATCTGATAAATAATTTAAAACTATTGCATAATTTCCATTATCTGGGAATTTGGTAATACCATAGCAAGAAACAATCAGTGGTGTTTTAATTTCACAATAATTCATCGCCTGTAATTAAATATAAAAACCAATTAGTATTTTATTATATAATACAGTATGTTTATTTTGTTTTAAATGACAACTACTAACCTCATCAATACTCCATAATGATAAAAATCCCAAGCCATGCACGAATTCGTGCAATGTCATATATGAAAATGATAGCTGATTTTTTGCAATCGGTGTTGTATCATCATCAAACCAAAAATTCAATTCAGAGCTAAATTCTGCTATTATGTCAAAAGGTAAAAATGCCGGATGTGATGGAAGTCCGAATTGTTTTACTAATCCTTGTGGATACGCTCTATCTACTCCATCCGAGCCTTTCAACGGTATAAATCTAGACACTCCTGTTTGACCTAATAAATTAAAAAAAAAAAGAAATTAGAAAATTTCAAAAAAATAAAAAAAATAAAAAAACATTATTTTCATTCTTATTACCTATTACACCTGGAGATAGTGGCTTAAAAGTGATGTCTACAACAATAGGTTCTTTTAACATTAGAACTTTGGTAATCGTTTCTCCTGTAACATCCAAACTTTTTTTGGCTTTTCCACAAAAAGCTGCATTTGGGCTTAGACACTTGAGGTTTATTGTGAACATATTGCTACTTGCAGCTTGATTTTTAAGGGTCTTTGTTTTTGGCTTTTCATCGACCATTGCGCAGCTGACTGATTTAACCTTGCGTGCTTGATTTGGTGTAAACTCATTATCGTAACATGTATGCGGTTCTGCTGGTGCTGGTGCCGAAGAAACGTTTGTAATATTAAAAAGTGATATTAATAATAACAATAATAGTAATAAATAATTCATTTTCTCAAAAATAAATTTTCTTTTTTCGAAAAATAAATTTGCTTTATCAAAAATAAATTTGTTTTTCAAAAAATAAGGATTCGGCAATTATTTAAAAATTTTTTTTTTAAAGGGTCCATTGCGTAGATATTTATTCATATTTTTGTGAATTATTATTTGTTTATCTCCACAGTTAATTTTGGAAATTTAATAAAAAGATTTTTGAATTGCACATATGAAACAGTACTTATTTACTGTTTATCATCTATATTTAGTTAATTTAATTATTTATTTATTTATACATGTTTTTAATTGCGTTGTTCTCTAAAAGCTAACAAGAAGCTTAAATCTTGATTCTAGAATTTATAAACCGGTTTTATTACAAAAAGAAAATTCTTTTTTGGAGATGTGCAGATTTATATGAAACTCGGGAAATTCATCCTTGATAATAGTAAAATTGTTCTAATTTTTTGCTTTGTTACACAAAAAAAATTGGTATCTGTTATTGTACGTGTGAAATTGTAAAAAAAAATACAATAATTTTTATTTCCTAAAGGTTAGTAGATACCATAAAGCTTTAAAATAATAGAATGTATTTTGGTAGTAATAAGTATATTAATATTTATTATGTGTGCCGGTTGATTATCTCTTGGCACTCATTAATATTTAATATTAATATAGAACCGGAAAAAATTTTGGCCCTTGATTCGTGATACGTGAAACAACTGCAATAATTTCATAATAGAATTTGGCGCAAATTTTCGCAGATCACTAATTGAAATTTTCCGGAACCCATACTTCATTCCTAAAAAACTACTATTTATACGAATTTATAAATTGT